CTAAAAACAACAAAATTTTCCACCATTTAATCCTTGAAAAAGCTGAATAAAGCTGTTTACAGCCTGCTAATCAGATCACATGCCAAAAAAAACAAGAAAAATGATCAAAAAATGATAAATTTCAAAGAATCCCGTGAAGAACACTGTGCAACCCGTGTTCTTCACGGACTCGCCGATTCCGCACAGTGAATTGGCGAGTCACTGTGCGAAATCGTCCGGTTCTCTCTAGAACCGGATGATTTCCGATTTTTTAACCGATCCGGTCCCTTTTCGCGATTTTCGAGTCGAACCGGGCGAGTCCGGTTCGACTCGACGTTTTTTAAAACGCTGGTTCATACAGATAAAGGGCCGGTTGAAAGAATCCTAGATCTTAAAATTGGACCCGGTCTAAATCCTAAATCTTAAATTCCGTTCCGGATCTGAGCAGGCCTGAATCAAAAAATTAAAATATTTATGAATATAACAATATTTAGATATATTTTATATATGAAAAAAGTTTACATAAGGTTCCAACCTTAAAATGTATAATTAAAGATAGCACCTCAAAAATACATCATAAAAAGTTGTTTGGATGTTGGAAAAGCCTCTAATTGATCATCTCGATATCAAGAAGTATAAATATGAAAAGAAAAAAGGGTTTCAAGTTTGCGAAATACTGTATATTCCAATACATTATCTAGACCATCCGTTCTTTCATTTGTTTCTAGGTCTACTTGATTTGAACAAGTTTTGAAGTTTAAAAATTTATACTTAGAGATGAAAATAGATTCTCAAGCCATCTTAATAATTTTTTATATCAAAATTACAAGTATAATAAAATTTCGAGGTGGGCATTAATTAGATTGTTTGAGGTTGCAACCTTATAGAAACCACACTCTTTATATATTGGGACCCGAAAAATATTACTAGACCCGAATGGTATTTGTGTTCAAGTCCAAGATTTGGACCCGGACCTGATGCACCGGATCCAATTATTGGAACCATACTCAGACCAAGATCAGATCTACCCCTTGGATCGCAGGTCCATTGTCACCTCTAATCGGAGCCGGCTTGGCCCTGGCCCAAGCTCAGCCATTGCTCTCGAGGTTAGGTTA